CCAATCAATCAAATTCCCCGAATTACTCATAGGGGAAGGATCTAATTCGCGATGGTCAAGAGATGCCACGTCCATGTGCTCTCAGAAGCTGATCGCGCTACTTCTCAAATCTGCTAAACGACCTTGAACGGAGTTATTAAGCAAAAGGGTATGGTAGAGGTCGGAAACCCATAGCTCAAACGTTGTGAAATTGATCCCTCGTGTTTATTGTTTCAATGCTTTTTAATGTTTGATACAGCTAAACGGCTTTTGATAGCTTACAGTTGCATTGCCAAAAAGGATAAACGCGATAAGAGCTCGATTCCATGACATTTTGACTGTGAGTCCCGACCACTGTTGCGCTCTTTTGCTTTATAACTTCGTTCACATAATCGTTCAGCAGATTTGGAAGGTAGGATTTGAGATCAGCGTGCGAATTTACATCTAGGCGTAAACATCTCTTATTGAGTGGCCATGGCGACTAGCATCCTTTTCTGTCGGCTTGCCTCCACTTCTCGCTGAACAACAGCTCAACCATGTTAGGGTAACCACGGTACCCATGTTGATATGTGTTCACTGATTGAAGTGGAATACACTAACGATAGGGGCAATTTAAAACGTTAGTGTTCCTTTCGATCGCAGTACTTCCAGTTTTTGCACGTGAGCGAAGCTTCGGAGTGGATGACCTGATTCGCTTATGCAAAAAGCAAACTAGGTGAACATTACTTGTTCTGAATGTGTGCGATCAAAGAAGATGTATGCAGGGGTATTAAAAGTGTTGCGTGTGCCACATTAAAACTGGTGAATAGTTTGAAAGCGTATGGTTCGGTGTCAATCAAAGTTTATGAGTTTATGGGCGCATGCGTAGTCGGTCGTCCGATCCTAACGGTCGCACACCGTGAGATACGTATCGATCGTCGAATACAACCGTCAGGCAAGCCTTATCGATATGCATCCAAAGCTGTGCGACCGTTACGGTCCTTACGATCGTACGACTGACTATGAATGCGCCCTATGACCTGATATTATTGCATATTCAAACCGTGCCGTCTGAACGTGCGAATGTTTGTTTTTGACCAGCAGCAATAATAAATATAACCTCATTTTCGATCTGTGTTTCAAGGGCGCCCGATCAAACTGGACACACCTGAAACCAAGTACAGTGAGGAGCTCGATGCGTATGCAAATCTGCTCGAAGATGAAGCTGTAGGCTCTTCTCCGGCTGCGCCAGTACGTCCGATACCATTGGGTATCGAGGCCAAGTATGTTGGACAATATTCTGTGATATTTTTTTTTTAAACCCAACTTATTCAGAGCTTTGCCACTACAGTTTTTTAATGTTTAAAACTCGACTTAGCCCATTTGGGCTCCCTGTAGGTCATAAGTGTGATTTCGTTTTCGTCGCCAAGCCATGGAACTCATTGGCCGATGTCAGACTTTGCGATTGGAACGATTTTGCACCGATCGGCGG